TCTCCCGTGCATCCGCTGAGAAAACTGGAGATATCATCGAGTTCTGGCTTGGTGTACTGGATGTGGCAAACATGGCCAAGGGAGTTGTGGACATTTTCAATGCCAGCGTCGATCCAGCCGAATATCTCAATGGATTGGAAAGGGCATTGGCTCAGTTCACTTCGACCTCCAGAACCTCAAGCACCATCAATGACAAGAGACGGGGATCCTTCGACTGCACACTGCAAACTGCAGAAGCCGAAAGGGTCATGAAGATCATCCACGCAATCCCCGGATACGACTCACTGGCTAACTTCTGCTGTCTTACGGACTGGGAGAAGGACCAGGTGTTCACCCACTATCGGAAGAAGAACAACATCACAGGGGATGATGCCAGCATGGGCACTGATGCAGATGCCAAGCCAGGTGACGAGTCGTCGGCTCACCCTGGGGAGGAGGAAGCTGATGAGCCAGCAAATGATCCAACCGATGTTGTCAGGGATTCAGAGATTTCCGGGAAGCAACAACTTTTGGATGCGTTGGGAAAGATCTTCACCGTCTCCGAGGATGTCAATGTGTGTTTGTATTGCGGTAGCACCAAGCACAGCCATCTTGAATGTGAACATGAGAAGAGAGATGAAGTCAGAAAGGTGCTAAAGGCCGTCCGAGCGTCGCTCGAGGCTGATAGTCCAACATCTGATGACGTCGATATGGAGCCTCATGAGCACAAGAAGGACGGTTCAGGTGCTACTGACGGGTCGGGGCAAACGGAGGAACCCACAAGATCGAGGTTTAGTGAACACCAATGGTACGACAGCATCAGAACCATGTCCGAAGTTGGTGACCTCGATGAGTATGGTAGATTCTGCATAGAAGGACGTGATATCACAAAGCTAGGACCACAGAACATTGTTGACCTCAACGAAGTGATCCGAGACGCTATTGTCAGAGGAGGAGGCGACTCGTGGTCTGTGCCAGAATTCATGGCAAGCTATTCTGATAACAACATCAGGAAGCCCTTCTACAAGAGAGTTGAGGCGCCGCAAGATGGTTTCTTGAAAATCATCCCAACGACGGGGGCGCATTTCTTCAATTGCTCCTATTTCGGCGGCGTCGAATATGCAGCAAACTACCGCTTTGACACTGGCAACCGACTCAACACTTACGAGGACAAAGTGAGTGCATCACTAAACAGGATCCTGCGGCACAACGTGGGGAAAGCATCAGAGCAACAAAGTCTGCCATGTGATGACGCCGGCTGGGTGCCCATCGAGGACGTGCTCAAATGCGAGTCCATCTGGAGGCACGACTACGCACGCTGGCCACATGCGTTCCTTGCTCCAAAAGGGAGAGCAAATGATCAGAGTGCGTGGAACCTCAAAGAGGCAAACTTCCGCATGACATTGCTCTTCAAAATCATGTTCCACTGTGCCCGGTATGGACGTCGTGTTCGTGAACAAGTCTTGGCATTTGGCATCAACAAGGACATTGAGCGCACAAGCCTGACGTGCATTGACAACAAAGTTGATGCGGACACGAACATCCCTGATGAAGGTCTACTGCTATATCCTGTAGCGGTCCGTGCTCCTACGGGGCACAAAGAAGGATCATCAAGGGACGACGTCTCATTGCTGTCCTCATTACTTTCACATCCAATCGCGCCCAACACCATTTTATCGTTACCGGTTTGTTTCCACATCACCAAGAAGACCAACCTTCGAAGTATTTGGAGGCAGGGATTAATTCCAGGAGGTCTTGGAGAAGGTCATCGGATGTTCACGTTCTTCAACCCGTATGTACCTTGGGATCACAGATCTTGGACCATCACGAAGAGCGTTGATACGCGAAGGGGGGACTACATTTGCTTGTTCGTCCCGACCGAGACCTTGATGGTGGAATATGGCGGCCGACTGACTGATTCGGGACAGATCGTTTCACCAAAGATCATCCCGTTCTCGGCAATCAAAGGAGGATGGATTCAGGACCCCAGAGACCAAAACAATAAGACGTGGCTCCGGTTGTTCGTCCCGTCGGGCGACGACCAGGTAGTTCCGTCTGGAACGGTCAAATCAAGAACGGTAGCCACCAAGGAGTCCATCTTGAGGGTTGCAAGGCAGTGCATCGACGCCGAAGACCAACCGTTTGACGAAACCGCCATGGATGCCATGAACATCGTCAACAAATTTGAGAACAACCTCATCGAACCTGGTGGACAAGAACAATACATGGCCCGCATCAAGCTGATTGACTATATAGTCGAACGCAAAAGGGTGCAAACATCAGGCTGCCGCCATTGTCCTCACTGTCTCAATGAGACGCCGACAAAGCTAGCAGTTTGTCTAGTCTGCTGGACGGAACTTGAAAGTTGTGGAATCCGTCCATATCGGCTACAAGCTCCTGAAGATGATGAGGATGAGGCCTCGAAGAAAGAGCTCGATGAAGAAGTTCGTCGACAAGAAGAGTCATTGTTCAAGGATACGGTCAATCAAGCACAAGAGAATGTGTCCGAATCCAACGACTATGGCTTCAATCCCGATGAGGTCGATTATAACGAAGGCGATGATGAGGAAATGGATCAGGAGGAGGAAGCCCAACAAGAGGACGATGAAATCGTTGAAGATGACGACGACGAAATGGACATCGAACCCGAAGATGAACCCTCTTACAAACTTCCAGCGTGGACCAAGAACCTCGAGAGCGGCAGCAAGGGTATGCCAGAAGATGGACTCATCAACAATGATGTCTCCGAGGCCGCGGCTCACTTGTACGACAACGCAGTCATGTCAAAGATCATCACCATGTTCCGGTTTTACTACAAACAAAGAGTCACCATGACCCCAGAGGAGTACCATGAGATGATGACAGAGACCAAGCGAGTCCGGCTGGACCTGGACGACTTCTGTCCTTATACAGGAGAAGACCAGGATGGCAACCTCAAGCGACCGACGGAGCTGGAGTTGGACGAACTCTTTCAGGAGAAAGCGAAGAGGAATTCATGGTCAGAAGGAGAGAAGTTGTATTCAGGGCGACCCAGAAACATGATGATGCCTGTCATCAAGACTTTGGAGATCTATGAGAAGATGATGGAATTTCTGGTATGCGCCGGATACACTCCAGAATCACTAGGCTTCCTCATGCCAATGAACCGAATGCAGGCTGATGCCCAAGGGAAGCAGGAGATGCGAGTGACAATCAGCAATTTCCTTCGGCGACTTCTCAAAGGGACGTTCCCAGAGCACGAGTCGTACACCTTCTTTCGTTCCGGGAGCCACGGCTTCCCCGACTGCGTCGAACTTCCGGCATTCTCAGTCTATCTGAGCCTAAGGGAGAAAGAACAGAGAGTAGAGTTGCTCTTTGCAGCCCAACAGTGTGGAATTGCCTTACCACAAAATTTTGTCAGCAAGATGGCATATGCTATCCAGCTGGCTGAGGCTGAAGCGCAAAGGGGAAAGACCGAAATGAAAATGAAGATGGCTCCAACTCTTGGTGACGAAGTGGTGAGCGAAGTATTCAAGGCGGTTGGACACACTGCAGCTTCCAAGTTTACCAAACCACCCGCGCAACCTTCGCAGAAACCTGAAGGCACTGGTTCGGCATCATCCTCATCGGCTAGCGCACCAAAAGCCAAAGCTATGCCAAAGTCCCATGAACCATCGAAGGCGCCGCCTGCAAAGCCTTCATCGCCGAAAGCTGCTCCAAAACGTGCGGCACAATGGGAGAAACCTCCATCAGCACCCCAATGGAAGAAAGTCCGCCGTGAGGAGTAAACCAATTGCTTCATGATCACTGGTCTATAAGATGTGTATCGTCTTTGTGAACAGATGATCAGGAAAAGACCAACTGAGTGGACTCTGAGCGAGGCATTAGACTAATTCGCTTAGGTTCAGAACTTTGTTTTTTTCCCCAATCTGCACGAGATTCTGCATTGTGCACGTGAATTAGTTAGTTAACACTGTCAATCTTTGGTAGCGAGGCGATCCATTTCTCCCGACGGGTGAGTGGTGAGCTTAGTCAACGTAGAAAAGTAGGTGTTAGCTAGCAATAATTCGCGTTGTACAGCTTGATGAAACGCCAATGCATCGACAGCCAAAGAGTAGGTGAACCCTGAACCATTATACCCGACGGGTATGTGGGAAAGGGGGATCCGAATGGCAGGTTTTTATGTACATAGGCGTAATTCAAGTAGCAGAACGAATCTAATTCAAAAGTTCCCTCTCTCGTGCTCGTGGCGCGAAGCATGCCACGGACATGGGGGTTGTCAAAGGGAACATAGTGACAACACACTTACAACTCAAGCACGGGACGCCATCTTGGCTCAAGACCCCCTGCGTGAGGAAAATAGCGCGACTGCTGCTTGTCATGGCAACTGGACCCGGAAACTGCCAGTAAGCAAGGTACCACTTAGAATAGAACATCCAGAACAAGGATTCATTTGTTCACACATCTCATGTTGTAAACCGGTCTGTCTCAACCGGTCAGCTAACACAGCTCGATCGGGTGATTAACTGATGTTTTTTTCAAAGCCATCGGCTATGAAGTGCCTACTGTAAATTATCTATATTGCTGATGTGATCAGCATCCCTAAATTTGCATTGATGTCTCAGCAACTTCCTTTTGGTAATCAGAGGTCGTCCCTTTCTCGGCATGGGGCCACCAGCAAAGCTTCGAAATCCTGGATGATCTTCAAGTTTACAAGCTTGTTTGATTGGTGTGAGGGAAGTTCTGCATGAAACCCGTGGTACATCACTGATTATCAAATATGACTGGACTTATGTTCCTGAACACGTTCCCGTCATCAAACTCTGCACCAACCTTGCCATTCTAATAAAATGCATCAAAATTCCAGACAACAGGATACAACAGGTAAACATGATCATGAAAAAAGTGATAATATGTGATCATGATATTGCCAATATGATTTTTTTGAATGTTAACAAATAGATTAATACACCAAAATTCCAGAAATTCTCCCAGGCGCCTGCCCTCTTTTTGGATCAGAAAAAACCCTGCCATCTCCTGAGATCCCCAGCCGAGCTCGAGCTACCTGGCCAAGCGATGACAACTTGTCCCTGGGCGAACTGGTCACTGGGTGAGTGAAGAACTGAGGAAATGTCAACACTTGGGTCATATCAAGTCATGTTAAAAATCACAAGGAAAATGGTGATATATAAAAACCTATCCGATATCCGATATCCAATATTTTTTTACCAAGAATGTGATTTTTGTTTGTTGCGTTCAGAACTCTGGATACAATGCTGGATGGATTGTGTAGCTATCATTTAGGTTTCCTGTATCTTTGAAATAAAAACAAGTTCGTGACATGCCCCACTAAAATTCAAAACGCAGGATCAGCATTTTTAAACCTTACGGTTGGTATCCATATTCTTATGGTTGCCCCACTTTTTTGTTTCAACCCCTGTTCTTTATGGTTGGTGTCCATGAAACCCACCCAAGGTCAAGCCGCCTGGCCTCTCTCCCCCAGGCCCGGACTACTGGATGTGTCTGAAAATGGCTGCTGTTTTTTTAGCAAAAAACAAGTTTTCTATGCTATACTTTAATGATCTTTAATGGGATTTAGCACTTGAATGTAAGGATATCTAAGGTAACAATTTGGGATGTAATGGTTGGACTGTAAAAAAATGGCATAGAATGTTACAACCAACCATATCATGCGGTTTACAGTTTACATTTGGGTAGAACGGGCCCTGAAGGGTCGATGGCTTCAGCTGGCTGGATGGTTGTGGCTCAGCTAGGTCGTGGATTCTTGTAGGGGCTACAGTACCTCCTGGTACAATATTGCACGACATGGCTTTGTTTGGAACTTGGATGCCCGCAAGTCATCTTATGAAGGGATTATCAACCTCTTTCCCATGGAAAAATCAAGACTCTGAGACCCTATCCCTATCTTCTTTCAAAAACCCAAGATCTACTAAAGTCAAAGGCACCTCACCACATCCAGACTTCGACTTTTTCTTCAAGGGTCAGATAGGTCTACCAGTCTACCACGCCTCGTTACACCTTGAGGCCACTGCCAACGTTTGGGAAAGCTCCATGCAGGCGGCTACGTCGGGAAGGGGCGGTTTGCCTTCTGGAAAAATGTGATCCATTTGACTTAGACAGTTTCTGATGTTTCTGTGTAGGTGGAGCGTAAAAGGAGTCGTAATTGGCCAAGATTCTTGTTTTCCAGTTTTCTGTTTGGATTTGCCTAGCTTTCTTCTACACTTTGTCATGGCAGTGAGGGGTTAACCGACCACAACAGGTATGTAACCTACAGAAGTTCAAACATGTGATTCGACAACATCAAACCATATGCCAATTAAATCATATTAAATCTAGAATTCCATTGCTTTTAGGCTTAGCGATGGAGGCAGGGAGAGGGGGAGAAAAACAATATGGTTTTGGGTCATGTATCTGACACAAAACGCACCCAATGTGACTCAATGTATTGTTTCTTGTGACCACCATGTTTTTATTTTCAGCGGTAAGGAGTTGCAACCAACAGAAAGCAGCAGCTCGGAACATTCACATCGATTAGAGCACCCCTGGACTCCTGGTTGGTCTGCTTGGTTGATTCCCGGTGAAGATCCAGCGCGGCAAATTTCAGAATGATCCAAAAAGGTTTGCCAGACAAAAAGGGCACCCCAAAAGCCCGCAGTTAGGAGAATGACCACAAATTTGGAGCATCATTTCCATTTTTTTTCCGAGTCATTTTGATGGTTGATTGAACCCCACCCATTGTTGGTGGTACATCCCAAATCATTTGGTTGGTGACGATCCCGCAATGCGGATCCCGTGTATCTAAACTGGAGCATCCCAGTTTACCCAGCTGGCGGGGATAACCCAAGGCCCCAAATGATGGCGAAATACCATGAAACACAAACAGCTGGGGGATGGTGCAAGTGGCATTGTTTTACCCACATTAATTTCTAGTGTTTATCCATCTTTATCCATTATATCCCAAGATATCCTAAGGATATTCCCATTCTATTTCCATTTTACCACCATTAAGAGTACCATATATCTACCATAAACATCCATAAACCCTAAGATATTTGTTGGTAAAATACTATGATATTGCATGATATTTCAACATTCCCATGATATGTTCCATGATTTGTTCCATGATATGTTCCATGATATTAACATACAAAATTACCCAGATTACCCTCTGGTAAACTAACATAACTATGGAAAATCCCCATTGTTCATGGGTAAATCCACTATAAATGGCCATTTTCAATAGCTATGTTAGTTTACCAGAGAGTACCCAGATTACAGTAAACCCCAAGAAACCTAAACCAGCTTAGCCCAGCTTAGCGTAGCAAAAAATCAGGCCGTTGAGCCCAGCGGTGCGCGATGGCTCCTGCTGGCAAGTGCCTTGCGTTTCAGTGCAGGCGCCATAAATTGTAGAAACGGTGTGTTTTTACCATCAAAACGGTGGATTTAACATGATTTAACCATGATGATTGGGATTTTATCTTGATTTAGCCATGAAAACTGGTGTGTACACCATCGAAAAGGTGGATTTATTGTGAGAAATGCGGATCTTACATGATTTTACCAAACAAAAGTGTGATGTGATTCTCCATTTTCTTGACAAAAAAGACCATGAAAACATATGACTTTTACATATTTTTACCATCACAAGTATTTTTTTAAACCAAAAATCCATGGGGATTTCACCCGGAAAATGCTGGGAAGTTCACCTCCGGGATCACCTCCGGCATCCCAGGGACCCCAGGGATCCCTGGGACCTCGCGGACGCCAGGTTTCGCCATTTTGGTCTGGCTCCCGTCTGCCATCCGCGCCAGCTTCCCGGAAGACGTGGAGCAGCTGCGCGGCGAATGTGGCGAAGGGCTGGGGCTGGATAGGGCTGGCGGTTCGAGGTTTTTGGTGAGGTGATGAATCATCAAATATCATCAAACATGGTGGACTTAAGCAACAAATGGATAGAAATGATGGAAAAAGATCACCTGGATCAGCAATTTTTGGTTGGTTCAATCCAGCATTTTGTTTGCAACCATGAAACCATATGATTTGCTGATATTCAACCATGAAACCATATGATTTAACCAGCAAAGATTGCCATTTAACGATGGCAAATTGAGATTCAAACCATTTTTTCGGTTTGACGAGGTTTTTATGGGAATATCAGGGTGCTTTGGATAATTTTGGAAGGACCGAACCTTGCGATGTTGCTGGAAAGATGGGACTTGGATTGGACTATGTATCCCAAAATGACCGAACTTTTGAGGTTGGTGAACAATCATAGAATAGCGAGATTCCCCCCGTACTGCGTGCATCAGATTTTATTGACCTGAAGCGTTGAAATAGTTGGAAGAAAGGATGTGGGCTGCTGTCTTTCCTACCCATTGTATTCAGTATCAGGGGGAAGGGACTATCCATCCATTTCCATCCGCACATTGTTCCCACGGAGGTTTGCTTTGGTCAACTCCCTTATTAAGGGTGTTGCGGGCAGTTTATCTTCCATCAGTGGAGGCATCGGTGGTTTGGGGATGTTTGTGGTACATGGGGAATTCTGATTTAGAGAACTGCTCATATTGTAGGGGCATAGTTATTGTAATATATACTATTATTATTATATGGTTAAATGCTCCTATTATATATATTTACTATAGTAGTTATAGTAGTTACTTGGTTTGACCACATGGACCCAAATCGCAAATCTAAGTTTGTAGTAGTTTGTATTACATACAATGAAACATGTGAGGAGATTCGAAATGAAGCTGCTGATAGTTGAAGATGTGTTGACAAGCCACTTCCCATCCCCTTGCCATGGCAACTGATCCCCAATCCACAGGCGTGGCCGCGGATGCCTTGCGATCAAAAGGCCCAATATGGGGATCTCTGATGTCTGTCAGTTGGTGTATCAATATGGGCCATAGATGGCCATAGTTAGTGGTGAACCAATTGCCAACAACTAGAATTTGGGGATGGTAAGCATACCACCAATAGAAAGTGGTGATTGGGCATCTCCCAGATGCTGGTGAATTCATGGATGGTTTTAAGTCTGGGTAACACTTCATGACCCACCTAACCAGATATGATGGCCAACAGCGAGAACCTGTGCGACAAAACATAAATTGAGATTGGGACAGTCGTGGATGTAGTGTCAAGTCGTTTTTGTTGGCAAGGAATGCTCACAAAAGACTTCAGCACATGATGTTCATGTTTGTCCGTCAGCACAAACGATGCTTCAGTTTAGTGATGACATGTCTGATAAAATGTCTTTGGTCATGCTAAGCCCTCATCCTGGTCATCACCTTAGGGGCTACCAGAAACAAATTGGTGCGTCATCCCCAGAGGACATCCCAATTTTGATTGCATGTTTTTTTTGCTTAGACAAAACCTAGTAAATCACTGTAGACTGTAAACCAAAATTTTGTTAGAAACTGCTATGCCCGGGAAAAGAACGCGTGTTTGAAGGTTTTTGAAACCATACATTTTAACCATTGAGGGCTTTTGACGAACCACAGTCCCTCATTGCTGGTGATGACTGAGCGATTTCTGTCAATGCCCATATTGGCTTTGGACTCCGAAGTCTTGAGGAGTAAAATTGTAAAATATCTGATGCTCCGGTATGTTTACCACTTGGACTGTTATATTTACCATTTCTGTCACTTTTCGAACCTTCAATGGTATATATATCTTACCTTATTTTTACCATAGATTCCCCATATATTTACTAAATATAGATCCCGCATACTTAGCATTTCCCATACGTTTACCCATGGTATATCTTGCTATATACCTAACATCCATTGGATACTTAACATAATGGTTTACTTTACTATATACTTAAAATACATATAGTTTACCATAGATTTCCCATATATATATATATATATCCGACATATTTACCATATATATATATATATTCAAAAATACTTTCCATAGCATTTCCCATATACATAGTATATTTTCCTATACTTACCATATTTTTGTTCCCCCATCCGTAGATCCAGCGTTAAGTCGCCGGTTTTTGTCAGAGCCCGAGGCTTCGGCGACCGCTCGGCGGCCTGGTTCTGCGCGGCCTCGAGCCTGGCAGCTGCTCCTTTGTGGCCACTTGGCATCATCGAAAGGATGGTTGAAACAGTGAAACATTGATAGCCTTTACCTACAATGTGGGGCCCCCAAGATAGCTAAGTTGGTGCAAATAACTCCAATAACTATGGTTTATGGTACGCAAATAACTATAGTTCATGGGGTTTATAAACCAACTTATAACTGGGCGGCCCCACATTGTAGATGGGATGGTGACCATCTAAGTAGAAAAACTGGAGGATTATATGGGAACATATGAGAATATACTGGGAACATACTGTTAATCATATACTGGGAAACATGTTGAAAGCCTGTGGAATCCTATAGAAGCCCACCGAAAGGATGGTTGAAAGCCTATAAATAATGGGATGTTTACCATCAATTTGAGGAATAACGGTATGTTTATAAAATCTAGAAAACTGTACGTATATATATTGATATGAGCTGATTGGTAGATGATGATTGAACTTTTAACTATAGATACATCTAGATAATCAATTGAACATCATAGAAGCCTATATGTTTATATATGATAATCATAAGATGGTGGCTAATTATTCATGATGGATATCAAGTTGTTATCAATTTGTGAACATGGTATAAAGTGGTTTCTACCATCATAACTTCACAAAAAAAAGGAAAACACATGGCCCATGGTATTATAGAGATAGTCGCTGATGCTTAAGGATGGTTTATGATTCAGATGCCAACGACTTGAGGGATATGGGATATCCAAAGCGAGCCAACCGATGATATGATAGGTAGGGGCTAAACCCACCAACAACCACCAAAACGGGCCAATACCATCCAATGTTTTGGTGGTCAGGTTTGGTTTGGCAGTTGCGTGCTAAGCCATGTGGAGCTTTGAAGAATCTGAAAGCTGGTGGTTTCAGTACTCAAAAATAGCTGTTAAGCCAGGATGATTTGAGGGTACTCTTACCGGTAGCTTAAAGATGAAACGCAGTCACCCCAAATGCCCAACAGTCATGAAAAGCCTATGAGTTTAGGGGCATTCGGGCTGCAATGACGATCCCAATTAAAAAATCAGATTTTTGTGGCGCTGGCCCAGCCAACACATGTTTTTGGTGGATTATGCAGCTTCGATGCAGAGAAAAATAATTAGCAATGTAGGGAACCCGTGGTATTTGTGGTTGTGCTTCTTGGGGCTGTGTAATGGGTCTTTGCACTTGGATTCCGTGGACCGTAAGTTGCTGTTTTTTCCTCTCAAAGAGGCTTCCTGGGATATGTATGGATAATTATGGATATATTATATTATATGCTCAATATGTTGAGGGGTTCCTGTGTATGTGTTCATACTATTCTGATGACTCCACGTCCTTTACCACACAGACAACACAAAAAGAAGCGAGTGTGCATGCAACACCATCTAACATCATCTTATCCAAAATACTGTCGAACCTATTGAATGCAACTTTTTATTGTAGTGATTCGAAGTTTGCACTTATTTTGTTTACAAAAAAACAGCTTTAAGTCCTGAAATGTTATCAAATGATGGATCTCCCTAACTTCTCAAATGATGGCGGTATGATTCAAAATCCTGGCATAGTGGGGGTTCCCGCCATAAAAAACAGCTGGCAAATGGATATTCATCCGCCCAAATATGGTACGGTATTATAATAGATGTTGACATGTTTTATCCCATCCCATATCCTCTTGTAAGTTGTTACAGCCATGGAAGCCATGGCCCATTCAGCCATTCAGTTCAATGATTTACCTTTAAAAGATGGTGATGTTAACTGACTTCGCCACTTCTGACTGAGGTATTTCACCCTGGCCGAGGGGTTGAGTTTCCAGGTTTGCATGGCACTTCTTTGTGCGGAGCACCATGTCACCATGGCATGCCTGAGTTGCGTCAATGATAAGCCAACCCCCAAGCGGTTATATTTTGTATTGGGAAAATGATGATTCACCAGCATTCACCCATAATTGAGTTGGGAAGATTGCTGATTTTCAGACAAGGCCATTTATGAATTTATTCGAATTTACATTTTTCCGTTCTTAGAAAATGACGAGAAACCCCATGGATTTGTGGGCGATTTCTGGCCTAGATTTGTGGATTTGCTTATATAGTGGGTGAATCAGGTTAACCCATCAGTTTTTCAGGCTTTTCCCCCCATTGATGATGGAAAAGGATCCATATTGAAAAACCGTAGATTTGCCCTGCCCTAATTAGCAAACCAATGTCCCAATGATATATGTTCAAGAAAAAGACATCCCAACAAAATCATTCCAGTGAGATTTAAATTATATATTTGAAATTTATATTATATTAAAAAACAAAACCATCATCTCTGTAAAGCAACCCAAAAAATGATAGAACAGTAAAATCCCATTATCATAGTGGTAAATTACTGTCCTATTGTTGTGGGGGGTTACTATAGATGTTTAACATAAATTTCTACAACTGTGTCTTAACATAGTAGTAAAAATAACATAACATGAAATAGCATCATATAGCAAATTAGTTACTGTCTGGACCTATGTCTTCTCCTTACATGGCTTCAGCCTGTTCCGCTGAGGTATTTGGTGGCTGAGAGTTGGTTGGGCCCAGCCATTTCAGCCCTCCAAGGCTCAGTGCCTTCGGACCGACGCGGCACAGCGCAGGCGGATCCATCCCAGCCTCTGTGAGGCCATAAAACTGTAAGGCCATTACTACACCATGTCATATACTATACATATACTATAAATATGCCATTTATAATGGGAATATAAGTCATCAAAAGTCTCATATACTATAAATATCCCATGAGAATCATAAGAATCATTCTGAATGAGGACAAAAATGATGACTTTTGCCGTTGGGAGCCAGTACCAAGCGGTCAATGAATTGAGTGAGTTGCAGGATGTCTATGGGTTGTTCATGTATGACTTCTGTGTTGGTTACATCAGTTGTAGGTATTCCATGCTGTGAGTCAGAGCATATCCCAAGATTATCCCGACTGGATGCATTTGGATATCATGAATGTTTGAATTCAAATTGAATATACCCTCTGGTAAACTAACATAACTATAGAAAATCACCATTTTCAATGGGAAGATCCACTATTTCAATGGTCATTTTCAATAGCTATTTTGACATAACCAGAGGGTATGTACTATTATTTACTCATCCCCTTGAAATTCTAGGACCTCAAATTCTAGACTCATCATATGGGATAGCAAACTTGGGCGACAGCCTTGATCCACCCGCTACTGGCCATCCCCAATCCCTCTCAACGTGTGACAGGGGGTTTTCTCCTCCCTCACTGCGTGGCTTGGAAGCAGGTGAATGCTCCCAAGACGGTCCCCAAAGTGAAGCGCCGAAAAAAATTATCGAAACATGGGGATATATCCAGCTAGTTTCAGGGATTTCTGTGCAAAAAATGATGTTGAAAACACCAAGACCAACACAGCAAACCGAGCCGAAGCAGCAGCCGAACAGCACGTGTCGACAGCTATCAGATTTTATCAGTCCATTAATATGGCATAGCAACCCCCCGAAAAGTAGAGTTTGGGAAAAATCCACCAGAATATGAAGTCGATGATATTGAAATATATTGAATATGTCCTTTAAATGTACTGTCGCTCTATCAGCCATACAGTAGCCCGAAAAAAATGACCGAGAAACGATTTACATATCTCCTCATAGCCCTATTTTCGTGTGGTCTTTATTTATGGTGTTTATTTATCTATTTTTTAGGGGTTGCTATAGTACTTTAGGATTCTAGATCTGTTGGGCTGAAAATTCCCATGGAAAATTCCCGCTGTGACTCCCGTTAAGGCTTGGAAATGCCTTGCCCGTTGGATTGGGTTTGCTGACCCCCTCGGATCTGACTTCTGGCCTTCAGATCAGTGTGGCGGCACGCGGGAGGGGATGGCGGGATGAATGGCGGTGAACCCAGGGGTCTTTTTTGGTAAGGACCGATGTGGGATTTGAAGATGTTTCATCATGTTTCAATCTGCCCAATGAGCATTGCGCACTGTTACAATATATATATATACATATGAATCAGCGAACGGAAATAGACAAAGTTACTCATGAATAAGTATGATGGTGGGGCTACATTCTTTTATAATGCGTAAGTAGTTTACTACTTGCTGGAGCTGCAGAGGTTTTGGGTCCCGAAATTGGCCCAGTAGATCTAATACGGGTGTATCTGAAAATGGGGGTTTCCATAAATGGGGGGTCATTTTGGGATCCCAAAATGGTTGGTTTATAATGATTTTAAAAAAACATTAAAATAGATGATTTGGGGGCACCCCCATTTCAGGAAACCCTCAAATGGTGTACACCCCCAAATGACCATTTTAATGGCAAAGAACTGGCGCATTTGCAATCGGTTGCCTTCCAGTCAACTAACATAGCTGTGGAAATCCATGACTTTCCCTTGGAAGTCATCCTTTTTAAAGGAGCCATATTTGATAGCAAACTGATGCAAACAATGACAATTTGCCAGAGGGTATGTTAGTTGGAGGGAAAATATTTGTTGTTGGTTACGGGTATCCCATTATTTCATTTTTTATATCCCTATTTTGGGGCTGGTAAAAGCACCTTTCACCAAAATGTGCGTGTTGTTATCCCTGCGGCAAGTGTCTGGAGGCGTGTTATCTCCTCAGCGGTCTTTGCTTTCTACTGGCCTCCAGTCATTTGCAACAGGCTGGGCCATGATGGGCGGTGGCTGTAGCTGAGTTCTCAATTCTGCAGCTTGGCCATAGGTCCACAGGTGCCATGAAATCCCAAAATTAGTAGTAGCATTACGGTCCGACGCCATCGTTTGGCCGGACTCGCAATGATCATCATCATCATCATCAACATCAACATCATCATCATCATCATCATCATCATCATGTTCTGAGGATCCATCAGGATACTCCCCGCAACCCCCCCACCCTAAATGGTAATGATATGTATCTTTCAAAGGTCAGGGGGAAGATGGTAAGCTTACAATCATGCAGTTTATTTGGTCTAGTACTTGTAGCTAATACTTTTTTCCCATTGTGTGTCTGTCCGGTCACCCACTGCACCTCTCTGCACAAAGCCACAGCACAGCTAGTGAGTGGGTTTCGCTCGGCTGGCGTGTACCAGTCCAAGAGGAGCTGCCACGCCCTCATACCCTGTTGAACCGCTATTTTATTGTACTGCGGGACGGCCAAGCATGATTATCAATATTTCAACTTGGATGATCATGTGATGCATGTCAGCATGTTTTGATTGTTGCCGTAAGATATGTTTCAACGTAGATGATCATGTGATGCGGGTCAACATGTTTCGATGGTTATAGTAAGATATGTGTTGAAAAAATGATTCATTAGGTGGTTGTGAAAGCAGGACACATATCCCTCATGTCATGATATATTTCTAATCGGGTTACAGTTTCCATGTTTTCATATTGGAATTGTTTTGCTATGATGTAGATGGAAGATGTATGATCATGTTTTGCTGAGCAACATGTCATGATATGTATGTTAAGATAGATGGACGTCTTGTAAATTCTTTGGCAAACGATGGTGTCAGCGCGTAACATTAGTATTCATTGGTAGTTACATCGGACCTTAGCAGGTGGAGAGTCACCATGATCTTCAAATCGCCTTGGATTGGGCGCAGAACCACCTGGCTTGCATCTGTACGGCAGGAGGTTCCTCACCCTGAAGATGCTTCGCAGTGAGTAGCAAGCTGAATGGGAAGTGGAGCTGTATAGAACACCTCGCTGTGGGTCAAATTCTGCGTTTAGTTCCACCAAAAAATAATCCCTGCAGGGTTGCGGTAATTTTGTATCTTGGTTATTCTGAGACATCATTTGCAGCTCTGATCCACGCGAATCGTTTGGGGAGCTCGACCTGTTGTTGTTGAATTGATGTTTGTTGAGATCTACTGTATCAAATCTGGTTCTTTTCTTGTGCGTTGGGGAAGTACCCCCAGCCTTGGGATTTTTGAGTCAGTCTGGAACAACCAAACCGGACAGAGATTATCACATCATCATCTCCAAGTTTGTCCAAAAAAATTGACATTTGAGCTTCCGAAAACCTCGGAGTTTTAATCTTCTTATGAGTCGATTTTGTTTTGCCTTCAAGATCTTGCGAGAAGGCCGTTTTCGCAGCGACAAGCCGCTGCAGAGATGCTGGGTTCCACCTTTCCAGAAAAAGCAGCGGGACCCCCCAGCTTGGAAAATTCATTGGTCAACAATCATGAACATTTGAAGATCTTCAATAAGTTATTCTGCTGTGAAGACAGGTAGAAGTTTTTGACCCGCAAATGGGCATTTGTCAATGCCATCGTAGACAATTTTCTTTACAAAGGTTGTTCGACCCATTTTCCATTTCAACCAGGGTGAGATGAAGGATCCCATCGTGGTTAAACACGGCTTGATGTGTTTACGTTTGACCTGTCACCTGCTTTCTGAAAGGTAAGACCAAGGTAAATGGTCCATGTTGATCCACACTCGCCACCTCAAAATTGTGTTTGCCGCAGGCGGACAGGCATGTTCTTCTATGTGTTTGCCATTTGCCAAGTTGCAGTTGGCTAGATCATGTTTTATTCATGGTTTATTCATGTTTTATATGTGTTGCCAATTTTTGCCATATTTGTTCCAGTTTTTTTGTTGCCCTTCCATGGTGAATCAACGTCCCTTCCCCATATTTTCAACACCCGTCACCATGGGATGAAACCGGTGATCCCGACAGGCACTTTTGGAATCCGTGGCACAATGGGGAATGGAAGGATATGTTTCATTTACCCGCATCATCCCCCTTTTAATATTCCTTATTAAATGGCGCCACCCGGGTGGCGCCATTCATTTCTTATTGAGTGCCGCCCCCAGGGTTAAAATCAAACGTGAAATTGCTTATAAAATGGTGTCTTTTGCAATAACGGGTCTGGGAAGATCCCTACTTGAAACTGTAATTTTATAAACCGCCCCTTTTTCTGGGGGCTATAAAATGGCAAACCCCGGTATCTCCTCAGGAGAAAACATGGGGGGCGGGGTCAGCATAAAAAAAATATATTTGTATATTTTTTTTACTACATGTTGGGGTTATAAAATCATGGTTCCTTTTAAACTTGTCATGTATAGACTCTAGTTGTCATTTAATAACATTTGGAGAACATTGCCTTATAAAATGATGGTTCGGAATGCTTGTAATGGAGCGGCGGACTGTCATTTTATAAGAAACTATAAAGTTTGAGCTTGCGGCCATCAAATCTGTTGTTGTGGATTCCAGCATGACACAAAGCGGGGGGGGGAGCGGGTTAGGGTTAGTTAATGTTTATTTAGGGTCTGCTTGGGGTTTATGCGGGGTTGGTTCAGGGTTTGTTCATGATCTACTCAGGGCTGGTTTAGAGCTTATTCAGGATAGGTTTGGAGCTTTTTGGATTTATTTAATTAAGCGTGCTTTCGGGTTGGCAAGCAACGCCGTGAGGAGAGACCAGGCGGAACCACGGCACCTTACTTTCTTCACGCCTCTGCTTTAGTTTCGCAGCTCTTTAAAGTGCAAAACGAAAGACAGCACAACGTGCACGGAAGACAGAAACAAACCAGCTTGTGGCGACCCATGGCGGGGTGACTGAGTGCATGCTCCGTGCCAAAGGCCCTTCAAAAAAAACTTTGATGACCACCATCCATCACCATCCTGCAGCTGCCACAGGGTGAGATTGAAGGCGCACAAAGCGCCCTTATAAAATGGCAATTCACACGCTGCAAGACACATTCACATCTTGGGACGAGCATTTCATAAGGCATTGCCCTGGCCGATGCGTCCCCGACGGATCCCCAGCAAGAAATTGAATGAGCACATAGGATAATATCAGCTTGCTTTGGCTTTGAAGCTGCGTTTGTTGAAGAAAGGTTTCTGTATTCGGTATCGGGCCTATTTTGTTTGGCTTCCTCTCATGCAATGACGATCACCAGCGGTTCTTGCTACAATATTCATCAGTATTTTTTGACCAGATTCTTTGTTTTCCCTGCTGTTCTGTGTTTGTGAAGACTAGCTTGCAGCATGTGTGGCCGGTTGCTTTCATCTTCAGTGGCATTCTTTCTTTGTCTGCTTATATGGATGAAGTCTTTCCGCGCCTTTGTCACCTTCTTGCTTGAGATTCCCCGCTCTTTCCCAAATACAAAAAACGAAGGGAAAGATAACATGCACAGCCACCAGAAACAAACCAACTTGTAGCAAGCCAGAGAAGTCCCAGTAAAAGTATGTAAGAGTAAAGCATCCTTTTCAGCGGACTTGCGTTCTCCGGGCCACACACCTGTCATCAAGAATATCAGACAACACCATGTAGAGCACCACAATCAAAACAGTCCATCAGCATCCAACATCTGCCACAGGCCGAGCCCGAAGGCGAACAAAACACAGCTAAAAAATGAAGATTTGCACGCCGCTACACGCAGCACACCCTGGGACTCGCATCTCAGAGGGCTGCCCGTGGCCATTGCGTGCAGAATGAGCTCCACAAGGAAACAAGGAAGAAAAGAAATCAGACAACACGTGTCTTTGACTTTTATAATGCTGTGCTCGTTCATAAGAGATTTTTGGCATTCTGTTGATTTTGGCTTGTTTTTATTTTTTCATGCTGCCCATTGCAATGTATGTTTGTGGCTGCTCATTTTCATTTTCCGTCAGTTCTTGTGTGTATGATTTTTCCTGTTGTTGCCCAGACTATCCTTGCGTTCTTCTTGTGAAGACAAGATTGCGCACATTTGCGGCGCGGTTGCTTCCATCCCAGGAGGGCTTGTTTCCTCATGCACTGCCATGCATGCAGCGTTTCCGCGCCTTCTTCACGCCTCTGCTTGAATGTAGTTTCCTAGCTCATTCAACTATACAACGAAAGGAAGCACAAGGTGCAAGGCAAACAGGCTTGTTGCGACCCATGGCGGGGTGACTCACAAGCATGCTCCGTGCCACAGGCCCGTCAACAAAGATCTCTGGAAATGAGGAAATGACAGAATGTAAATGACCACTATCCACCACAATCCTACAGCTGCCACAGGACAAAACTGAGGTCGCACAAAGCGCCCTTATAGAATGGCAATTCACATGCTGCAAATACCTTCGCATCTTGGGACGAGCATTTCATAAGGCGTCCCCGACGGACCCCCAGCAGAAATTGAAAGAACAAATAGGATAGTATCAGCTTTCTTTCGCTTTGATGCTGAGTTTGTTGAAGAAAGGTCTCTGCATTTGTTTTGTTTTGGTTGGCTTCCTCTAATCTAATGCGCGCAGTTGCTCAATGGCGATCTCCATCCAGCGGTTCCTGCTACAATATTCATCGGTTTTTTGTTGACCTGATTCTTCGTTTTCCTGTTGTCGCTCATTGTCGCCTGCTGCCTGCCTTGTGTTTGTGACGACTAGCTTGCAAGCATGTGTGGCAGGTTGCTTTCATCTGCTTGCAAGCATGTGTGGCAGGTTGCTTTCATCTTCAGTGGCATTCTTTCTCTGTCTGCTTTTATGGATGAAGTCTTTCCGCGCCTTTGTCATCTTCTTGCTTGAGATTCCCCGCTCTTTCCCAAATACAAACAACGAAAGGAAAGATAACATGCACAGCCACCAGAAACAAACCAACTTGTAGCAAGCCAGAGAAGTCCCAGTAAAAGTATGTAAGAGTAAAGCATCCTTTCCAGCGGACTTGCTGTCTCCGTGCCATATACCTGTCAGCAAGAATATCAGACAACACCATGTAGAGCACCATCAACAGGCACCATCCATCAGCATCCAACATCTGCCACAGGCCGAGACCGAAGGCGCAAAAAACACAGCCATAAATGAAGACTCACATGCCGCTACACGCAGCACACCCTGGGACTCGCAACTCAGAGGTGTGCCCTTGGCCATTGCGCGCAGAATGAGCTCCACAAGAAAACAGGGAAGAAAAGAAATCATGTACCATCTGTCTTTCGGCTTTTAACGCTGTGCTGGTAATGCTGTGCTGGTTCACAAGAGGTGTTGGCATTCTGTTGATTTTGGCTTGTTTTTCCATTTTTTAATGCTGTCAATGCAATTTCTGTTGCTTGCTTCTCATTTTCATGTTCGGTCAGTTCTTGACCTGCGTGTGTGATTTTTCTGTTGTTGCCCAGCCTTTCCTTGCGTTTTTTTTGTGATGATAAGATTGCGCACATTTGTGGCGCGGTTGCTTCCATCCCAGGAGGGCTTGTTTCCTCATGCGCGCCATGCATGCAGCGTTTCTGCGCCTTCTTAACGCCTCTGCTTGGCTTTAGTTCCCTAGGTCTTTAAAGCTCACAACGAAAGGAAGCACAACGTGCAAGGCAAACAGGCTTGTTGCGACCCATGGCGGGGTGACTCACAAGCATGCTCCGTGCCAAAGGCCCTTCAACAAAGATCTCTGGAAATGAGGAAATGACAGTATCGTATATGTAGATGACTACTATCCATCACCGTCCTACAGCTGCCACAGGACAAGACTGAAGGCGCACAAAGCGCCCTTATAAAATGGCAATTCACACGCTGCAAATACCTTCGCATCTTGGGACGAGCATTTCATAAGGCGTCCCCGACGGACCCCCAGCAGAATTTGAAAGAACAAATAGGATAATATCAGTTTTCTTTGGCTTTGATCCTGAGTTTGTTGAAGAAAGGTCTCTGCATCTGTTTTGTTTTGGTTGGCTTCCTCTGACGCGCGCCGTTGCTCAATGTCGATCTCCATCCAGCGGTTCTTGCTACAATATTCATCGGTTATTTTTGACCTGATTTTTAGTTTGCTTGTTGTCGCTCTT